AACACTGGGTGTGGGTTTTGTGGGTGCGAGGATTTTGGGTAGCAACTGCGCCAGAAGGCAAGGAACACGGATGGGCTTCTCTCCTGTGGAACCCCCTGCCCAAAGGTATTCCTGTGCCCTGAAAGACCCCGGCTGGCTGGGGGAGGGAGAAACAGTGGGACTCCTGGCTTCCCTCCAGCCCATGTCAGGAGTAGCTGCTCCCCCCACCCTCCTCCTGCTCCTCCAACGGAGGGGGGCAGGCGTGGGTCTGGTGGCTGCAGGCGCCCAAGGGCAGCACCAGGGAGGAACATGACCCAGACTTCGCGTCCTGCAGTGCAGTGGCCTCGTGGCCATTCTGCCTGCCTCAAACTGGCTTTCTCCCTTCCTGCTGCCTCTCCTCTGTGCCCCAACGGCCCCAGAAAAAGGCAAAACCTTAAAAGAGCAGGCCCAGATCGCTTACAGAAGCAGACGGAGGAAGCTAAAGGGCTCCCCAGGCGTCAGAAGCGGCACCTACTGGCCTGCTGGGACCACCCAGCTAAGCCCAGAAAACGGGCCCGGCGGTGGTCCACTGATATGCAGGTTCTGAGGTTTTGCTAGTTCAAGAAATACAGGAAACCAGAAAGCGCCTTTTAAGTTTTACGTGTTTATTCAGCTGAATGGAGACGGACTCCTCCTACATGAGGGGAGCCACGAATGACAAGAAATCCTCGTATTTATTCTGTATCGTTACATGAGCAACCCATCCGGCCAAGCTGACACCCATAAGATAAAATATTGCACCCAGTAAATCTGGCACACTGTAGATAAGAAGGGAGAGGGCAGAAGTAGCTAAACGTGTTCTCATTTGAGTGTTCCTTAAAGATATCGTACGTTCTTGGGTGGGTTAGGACATGGGGTGTGTGGTCCTTGCTGTCCTTTCCTGACCCTGCATCCAGGATTGCAAGTGACCAAAGAGAGAGAAGCCATCTCTGTATGTATTCACAATTAATACTGTCCCCTAATTCCTGGTCATCACCACCACCCCGCCTGCTCTTTTGGAGCGTTGTTATCCGTTGACGGACAGGAGTTCCCAAGAAGGAAACGTATTTGCAGCTCAAGGTTGCACCTGGGCGCTCTCTGATTTCTCGCGGACGTCTCGTGACCCAAACTAGGTAACATCATCAAGGCTAGTAGGGAGAGGGGTTGAGTCTAGTGGAGGGGTAGGCCACCTTGGCGCTTTTATGACGCGTGGACTTCAACTCCCAGAATTCCTGAGCCAGCTATGCTGGCTCAGGAATTCTGGGAGTTGAAGTCCACGGGTCATAAAAGCGCCAAGGTGGCCTACCCCTGCCTTAGTTGCTCTTCTCTGAAATTTTTTTCCAAACTCTCAACATCTGCGGAAGCATCCAGCGTCCGTCCCCCACAAACCCCATTGGCTCAGGAATTCTGGGAGTTGAAGTCCACCCGTCATAAAAGAGCCAAGGTGGCCTACCCTGGTCCGGTGGCCTGCCCTGGCCATCTGGACGGGGTCAGCCGGGGACAGGGTCTTTGCTTGGGCTGTTTAGTGTTGGCTTCTTCGGCAGTTCCTTGATCTGGGGTATCGTTTACTTGTGATTGCTGGCCTGTTGTTCATCTTGGGAGCTAATCTCTGCTCATCTGGGTGCTGGTTGCTGGTGGTGGGGGAGGTGCTCCGATGTGTTTATCCAAGCATGTTTAAACTGGGTGACTGATGAAGCACGCCCTTCCTTCACCTTGGGGAGGGGCCCTTCCTGCTCCAGGCCTCTCCTAAGTGCCCCTGGGAGGGGAGGGGAAGGGAGCAGCTGGCCTCTGCTGCAGACAACAGGGAGGGCTCAGCTGGCACATGGAGGGGGGGGAGAATGAGGCTGTTTCAGAGTGTTGGAACGGGCAGCCTCCCCAAGGAGAAAGACCCACCAGCCCCTGCTGCCCCTGGAGGAGGGCAGTTACCCAGCAGGCACCAAAGCTTCTCCCTGCAGGCCCAGGGCCCCGATCCACCCAAACAGGCAGCGGCAAGCAGCAGGAAGGCGGATGGTCGGCCAGCCGTGATCTCCAGAGGACCAGAGCAGCCGTCCGGGTGGGTGGGTGGGTGGCTGCAGAGCCACTGCTGGCCTCTGGCCGGACCCGGTCCCAGCGCCCCAGCACCCGGGGCCTTCAGGACTGGCAACGAGGGGGTGCACCAAGCCAGGTCCGCCCCGCAGCCGGTCACTGGGAGGTGCCCCACTGCCAGCCACAAAGTCCACTGGGCTGGTTGATTTAGAGCAGGTGCAGGGAGAACCCTGCAGGGCCGGTTGGCACAACCCCGGGGCTGAAGGACCAGCGCCAGGCTCCGAGGGCGGGAGGGGTGTTGCAGAGAGAGATCAGCTTAAGCAGCTGGTTTAACAGGCAGTGAATTGCCCTGACGGCTGAGCTGGGTGGGAAGGGCCTCCTTTGGGTTAGCGGAGGTCCCGGCAAGGCTGGTTGTTGGGATTTTTATGGTTCAGGCTTCCATAGCAAGACTAGGCCAGTGGCCAGCTTGCGTACTAGAGGCCTAGGACAATAAGTAGGGCAACCACATCCTCTGACAGCAACCACCATGTCAGGCTAGGAGTTAAAATGCACAAAGCTAAGTTAGCAATAAAAGCTAAGTAAATGTAGCTGCATCCTGTTCCAAACCACATAACCATGTAACTGCGAGGTTTCCACGCTTCGATGCATCTGAACATCTTGTAACGGGATCAGCTCTATAAAAATGTATTCACACCTGCTGTTGCTAACTGCTCGGAAAAGCCAATCACAGAGCCTGTCCGGATAAATCCGGACATGACAGGAAAAAACCTGCTTTGCACACATAAGACTTAGTTATGCTTGTAAACACACTTGCCACATATGCATATCCGACCCAAGGTGTCAAATTATGAGTGGTTAAACCAGGATCATATGCTTGCCTTCTGATACCTTGTAACCCACCCCTAACAAACCTCAATAAAAGGTTTGTCTCGGGGCTCATTCACCCCGAGGAGAATTTGACTCTGTGTCTTCGTTCTCACTCCGTCCGGCGCGGGGCTGCCCGGACCCCCTCGTGGTGAGCCCCTTGGCCACCAGAAAAGCCACAGCTGGTCTCGGTGGAGCAGAGAGAGGGAGGGGAGGAGGAGGAGGAGGAGGAGGAGGGGAGGGCAGAGGTCCCTGCTTCTGGGCTCCTGGGCCTGACTTCATATCTCCAGGCTGCCTTTCCTGGGGTGAGGATCCCTTTTCTGGGCCGGACCCGGAGCTGCTCTGCCCCGAAGGAAAGCTCGTCGGGGACCCCCCCGAGGGGAGAAGGCAAGCCCCTTCCAGCTGTCTGGGAAGGCGGCTTCCAGCGGGGTTTGCTCTGCAGCCGTTTCCCCCGGACCCGCAGCCTCTCGCCGGCCCTGGGCCTCTTTTTTTCCCAGAAGGCCTCGGAGGCTTCCGGCAGAGGAGCGCGCCTCTCCATGCCGCCGCTTGCAAGGCCTCCCTGCGCGCCCGTCCCTCGGCTCGGCTCGGCTCCAGGCCGCTGCTGGGCGTCGCCCCTTCCCCGGACCCTTCCTTTCCTTCCTCCCCCCCCGCCATGCTCGGCCCGCACGCCCGTCCCCCGGAGCAGGGGAAGCCGAGGCCGGCGCCGGGGCAGCGGGGACCAGAGCAAGGCCGGCCCCCTTCACTTCTCCCGGGGGGGAGGAGGAGGGGGAGGGGGAGGAGGGGAGGCCCGGGCCGCTCTCTTAGGGCCGGCGGCGCGCAGAGGCGGGAGCGAGGCTGCCAACGGAGTAGCCGCTCAGCCACCGGCAGCCGGGCCGGACTCGGAGCCGCCTCCCCCGGCAAGGTCGGTTTCCCCGGCGCCTCCCCGCCTTTAGCGGAGGGAGGGCAAGAGGGAGGGAAGGGGAGGGAAGAAAGCCGGCGCGGCGCCGCGCTCCCTCGGCCGGGCTCGCCGGGCAGGGCTCGCCGGCTGCCGGTCGGTGCCCCGATCCCGGGAGGCGCGGCGGGGCTGACGCCGCTTCTCTCTCGCAGGCCCTCCCGATGCCCGCCGGCCCGCCCCGCCTGAAGCGCTGCCCGCGCCGCCCGCTGGGGACCCTCCTGGCCGGGCTGGCCGTCGTGCTGGCGCTGACCTTCCTGGCGGGCGGCGGCCACGAGGAGCTGCTGTCGCGGGCGCTGCCGCTGTTCCTCCCCCCGCCGGCCGGGGACGCCCCGCTCTCGCCGCCGCCGCCCTCCGCCTTCCCGCTCTCGCCGCCGCCCTGNGCCGCCCCCGAGCCCTCCTGCACCGCCTGGCAGCGCCTGCTGGGCCTGGCCCGCTGCAAGGTGTTATCCTGGCTGCACTGGGCGACCGAGGAGCCGGACGGCCCGTGAGCCGGCCTTGGACGGCCTCCCCTCTGCGGACTGCGGGACGAGGCGCCGCCGCTGCGGAATTCAGCCCGGCTGCCTGGTCGGTCTTTTGGGCTGCCGTCCGAGCGCTGAGCGCGCTGCCGTCCTCTCTTGCGCAAGCGGCTCCAAGTGGACTTTTGGCAACCCGGATGGAGGAAGCGCCTCCGACCCCGAACCGCGGGTGGGGTCTGAACGGACTTGGGGAAGCCCGTGGGGCAGGACTCTTGTGAGGGGTGGCAGGAGAGAGAACTGTCACATCAAGCCAGAATACGGGGCGGTTGTGAAGGTGGCTACTCTAGCAGGGTCTGTGGGACACGGAAGGAGCCTTGCAGTTGCCCAGATCCACCTGTGCACGTAGGGGGGGCGGGGGGGCTGTAGCCCTTAGGGAAGGGAGGCCCTCTGTGGCCTGCAGGATAGCCCCCCCTTCCCAATGTCCAAGAATACTTTTGGGGGTACCACTTTGGTCCCTAATCGCAAGGATGCTTCCGGGGAGCCCCCATTTTTTGCCCACCGAAAGAGAGGGAAGCGGGGACAGCCACTACAAATCACAAGTGTGTATTTATTCAAAGCTCAGAGTCCAAATAAGCTGACCGGGGGTTTCGGGGAAAGGTCCACGGGGCCAGCCGTCCAGCGCACGAGAGGGGAGGCCAACACGCCCTGCCGGCCTCCTTCGCCCGCTATTTCCGGAAACGATCCAGCGCTGACCTGCGGGCTGCAGGGGCTGCGGCCTTGGGTGTCGCTCGCTGCTTTGTCTCTGCCTTGGCAGCCAAGCTCTTCCGGACCAGGGCCTGCCGGGACGAAGGTGGGTGGGTGGGTGTGAACTGGAACTGGCAGACCACCCCCCTCCCCCCAAGGGCCCCCTTCCAAACTCCAGAGCCAGATGGAAGCCTTGAAAGAACTTCTGAGGCATTTGTTTACTTCTAGGCTGACACCAGGTGAACCATCAGGTGGATTCTCCAGAATCAAATGTGAACGTTTTCTTACCCTCTGATGTATTAAAAAGGAAACGTTTGGCAACCACGTTGTGGCTCATCAGGATTGGGGTGGGGGGTGGGAGGGGGGGCTGGGATCCAGGGAGGAGGGGGCGGAAGGAGCAGTCAACCTCCGGAGGAGACTCACCCGTTCTTCCTCGGCGGCCACCTTCTTCGTTCGCTTCAGCCTGCTGCCTGCCGAATCCCGGCCCTTCAGCTTCCGGCGAGGGGAGAAGGGCGCCTTGGCCTCCGGGTCGAAGCCCTGCGGGAAGGGGGGCACGGAGTCAGCGTCCTCAGACCCAGAGCCCTGGCAAGGCCACACCTTGTGCCTCCTCCTCCCATCGGTGCCCACCGGCCCCGGACGCCTACCAGCCTCTCCGCCCGCTCCTTGTGCTGCTGGTCCAAGGAAATGGGGTCCACCCTGCCCAGCTCTGTGGGGTCCAGGCTGATCAGCTCCGACGGGATCTGCAGAGAAGAACCGGCCGTGAGGAAAAACAACGGGGTGTGGGGGCTCCTCTCCGCCCCCGGAGTCCCCTCTTGGATCCGTGGCTTCTGGAGACGGCTCAAGCGCCAAGGAAGAGTAGCCCTAGCTGCGGGCAGGGGACGAGGGGGCGCTGAAGTGGGGGAAGGAAGCAGGGGGGCATGGTCCTGGGGGGGGTCTCACCTTCTCCAGGAAAGCTTTGACCTCCCACTCCTGCCTCTGCCTCCGGCTGCGGAAAGGGTTGTTCTCCAGGGCATCGAAGTTCGGCTCGCCGGCACCTGCGGAGGCCACCCGGCTGAGGAAAATCCTCTCGCAAAACGGGAGTGAACCCATCCCCACTCCGCCCTCCCCCGGCCCCCCTTACCTGGGACCAGAAGGCTGGCAAAGCCCTGCTCGTGCCCCACGCCCAGCACGTCCTCGAAGGGGCAAAAACGGAGGCCGTGGGAGGGGCCGGGCAGCCCGTGGCACAGGTAGGGCTTCTGCGACGGGCGGGACGAGATGTCCTTGTACACCTGGGGGAGAGGCGACGGCGGCAGCTCACGAGGGGCCGAGTCGGGGAGGAGGAGCCCCGGGCTGTGGGAGGGCCAGACTCAGCCTGCATCACTCACCTGCACCACCTCCTGGCAGGCAGCCCCCAGGAGCCCCCGCTGGCTGAAATCCAGCTGCCCAGCCCCGGAGGGCAGCAGCAGAGAGTGGAGGCGCCGATACGCCCGGAGGTCGTAGATGTGCAGCTTGTGGTCCAGTCCTGAGGTGGCCATGTAGCTGCGGGAGAAGGCAAGGAGAGTCCCCTTCTGCGCTCCGCGCGTGCACCCCCTTCCCTCCGTGCCGCTCCCGGCCGCCCCTTTGCTCACCTCCCGGAGGGGTCGACGGCCACGGCCCTCACGGCCCCCTGGTGACACAGCAGCCGGACCAGCGGGGCCTTGGCGCTGGGGCTCCACAGGGTCACCGTCCCTGCAGCGGAGGCAAAGGTGGTGGGGTCGGTGGGCGGAGGCGCTCCGGACAAGGGCAAGGAGAGGCCCCACGTGGCCCACCTCACTCACCATTGCTGTGCCCCAGGTGGACGATGGCATTGGAAGGGTTGTGGGCCATCACCGCCAGCCGGCCGGCCTTGGTACAAATGGTGGCCACCTCCTTCCCCACCGAGATGTCCAGGTACTGCAGGAACCCTGACTCGCTCTGGGGGGGGGAGGAGGGGGGGAGCAGAGAACAGAGTTCTGGGGGGAGGTGGAGAAAAGTGACCCCCCCACACACACACACCCACCCATGCCAGGCTTCGAAACCTCGCTGCTCTCCATCCCACCTGACTTTGGTGGATGGCTGAGGGAGGGCTCTGGCTTTGGCCAGGGGTCAGTCTAGATGAGCACGGGGTTCCCTCCAACCCTGAGATTCAGGAACCCACTGGTTGCCCTTTTGGGGTTGGGGGTTGCTCAGCTCAACCCAAGCCGTGAAATCAGACAGACTGTCTGTCTGTGTGTGTGTGTGACCCAGGAGAGCTGCTACACAGAAACTCCCTCTTCCCCCCCCCCCCGGTCAATGTCCCCAGGTAACCCCCTTCGGAGAGCCGGTGGGGCCCGGTGCCCGCTCACCGCTGTGGCCAGCAGGAAGTGGTAGGGCAGGAACTCCATCCGTTGGACGGCGTGGAAGCGCTTCAGGCAGTTGAGCTCCACACCCTGGTTGTCGTACACGTACAGCCACTTGCGCTGGGCCACGGCAAACATGGCCTCCGTGTGCAGCCACCTGCAACATGCAGGGTGGAAAGTGGGCCCGCCTGCCCCCCCCTCACAGCTCAGCGGTTCCTTTGGTGTGTGTGGGGGGGAGTGGGTGGGCACGGACACCCCAGCCAAACCAAGGCCTGCGGTTGCGGGTTGAAACGCTCCCAGGTTGCGACGGTTGCAGTAGAACCATCCCAGGAGGGCTGGGCCAATGATTGCAGCCCCTACTGGGTGGGGGGGACCTTCGTGCTTCCCCCCTCCCTCGACATGCTCCTCACTCACGTGAGATCCGTGACGGTCTCCATGACGTTCATCTCGCACATCAGGGCCTTCGTGTGCCAGTCCAGGGCCGCTACGTGGCCACGGCGCCCCCCCAGGAGGAGATGCCTGAAGCGGGAGCAAGGCAGGAGTGAAGGGGTGGGACGCAGGAGACCCCACCACCCCCAACCTCAGCGATCCGAGACCCTTCGCAAAGCCCACTCACCGGCTGTTCCGCGTGTAACTGAGCCGATAGGGGCCGAAACGATCCAGCCGCAGCTCAAAATGCTGTGGGAGAAGAGGCAGCATGAAGGTGATGTAGTTGGGGACCCCAACCACCCCCCAAACCAGTAACTGTCAGTGCACCCCAGTCCGGAGCACCCCCCCCCCTCCACCTTGGCACCGGCTGCGAGGTCCACGGCAGCAGCGATATCGGCCTGGGTGACGGTGCAGGTGTCCTCTTCGCCGTCCCCCTCCAGAAACCTGCCACGGGGAACAGAAATTGGGGGGGGGAGGGAAGGGGAAGGGTCAGTGTTGCCCTCCGGCCTCCTTTTCCATTGTTGACAGAGCAACACCAGACCCCTCAGGAGTTAAGTCCTCGCAACAAAAACAAAATCGCCTTTTCAAGGCCGCTTTAAAAAGTGTCGAGATCTCGAATGTTGGGGAGCCAAACGCCAACAGAAAAGGTTTAAGGTTTAAGGTTTATTGCATTTATATCCCGCCCTTCTCCTAGTGGACTCAGGGCGGCTTACAGCCAATTAAAAAACAGAACAATCTATACAAATCTACAAAATTTAAAATCAATTAAAAGATATATTCAATAGGCCTATTCATATTTTAAAATTAATTAAAAACCAATTTAAAATGTCCCTAGGCCAGTCC